AGTGAACAATTTAAAAAACTAAACTTGAAACACTAAATAGTAAATATAGTTAGCTAACTGACGAGATAACATAACCTAGCTAAGAGTAAAAGGCTAAGAACTACAATATCTACAAACACAATAACTCCGAACTAACAATAATAACTAACTAGAACACTGCATAACAAGCTAAATCCGATGAGACGATATGTATAGAAAACAATTCAAAACTGCGCCGGACTTCTCCCTCGCTCTAGTCTCGTGTGATTCTCATATTTAGGGGGCGTGACAGGGGTGGGAGTGTCATCAGGGGGCGGTAACACTGGTAGACTGATTTGCATACTGTGACCAAAGTAAGAAGACAGGTCATCCGCGCCTATAGCAGAGTTGAACCAGAGGGGCGCTGCAGAGGCGGAACTGATATTTTTACAGTTTGGAAAGATGTGTGCATATTTTATTTTTACAGACCAATACATTTCAGCTATTAATGAAAAAAAGGTCTTAATATGTAGTTACTCTTTAATACTACAATTACTGATGATAACAGAAACAACAGCAGTCATCATGATTTCAGATTTTTTGCATTTTACATTACAATATGTATGCTAAATTGATTGAAAAGTGCACAGGATGTGTCAGGTTACAGGCTAAAACTGAAAATTTTTGATTTTCTTTTTTACAGATGAGGCAGTGGTCACTGCTTTAATGGAAGCTAACAAGATCATTGGGAGAAAAAGCCTGCAGTGTCCAAAGCCTGGAGTTATGCAATTGTCATGTAATGTTCATGTAATTGAAATGTAAACTGGAATATAACAAAATGACCACAAAAATATATACTATAGGACTTTTTTGTAAAAAAAATGTAGATCTAAGGTACTAAGGTAGTTTTAACAGAAACTTTAAAATATTATTACATCCCAAGCAGTGTAAATTAATTGGAAAGTGTTCAATAGATTATTTGATGTTAAATTAAACTTAAAACTTTTGGAACAACTAAACTTTAGATGTATTTTTTCATGATAGTTTTTTATTATATAATTTTTTATTATATTTAACATTTATTGACAGATTATGTCTGTTGAAAATGTTTTAATAGGATTTAGAAGACAAAGTGACCGTTAACTGAAATAACTTTTCTTTATTTTGCTTTTAAAAAATCTGTACTTTGACAGGTGTATGTTGTAGATTAATTAAATACTTCTATAAAATAACAATTACACTGTTATTTAAAAGATAGCAACCTTCAAATTGTAGATTTTAAGTGTATTTATGCAGTACCTCAGTGACTTTAATACATTCTAGAGATGTTTTTTTAACAATGAAAATTTGTAATTCTGCTAAATGTTGGTCGTAAAATTACACAGAATATTTACAGGGAAAAGTTGTAATTTTACAGTAGTCCACTGTACAGTATTTTAATGTAAATTTATGGGAACTGTTTGGCAACTTTTGCTGCCAGACATCTTACCGTTTTACCGTACATGAAAACTTTAAGTCTGAATTTAGGTCTCATAGTACAGAGACAGCACTAGTGAAACCTGTAAACAATTTTTTAGTATTTTCCAAAAGGTATCTTTGGTGGTTGTTCTTGATCTCAGTGCAGCATTTGATATGATAGGCTATCCTACTACACTGGCTAGAAAACCTTGTAGGAGTAACAGGGATGGCTCTTTCCTGGTTTGGATCTTACCTGACTGATTATTATCAGTTTGTGAAGGTAAATGGTGAATCATCTGTTTGTACAAAAGTATGGTGCTCCACAAGGCTCTGTTGTAGGAGCTCTATCATTCACATTATATATGCTATGCACCAATTTCTACTGCTACACTGTGATAATATGACATATATGCTCACTCAAGTTTGTTTACAGTGGAGTGGAGGTGTGCTGACATCTTAGGGAGCCATCATGGTTTTGCTACCTTCTGGCTCTCTCTTTTTAGTTAGGCTTTAGTAGCTAGGACTGCTGGAGTAACTCTGTTGACACTATATATTCTTTTCAGTCACTCCAAACAGAACTAACTGTCTGGATATTTCTTTGCCAAGTTGAATAGCTGCCCATCCCTTGAGGTCTCATGCTGTTGATTCGTCTGCCTTGATTGGATGCCCCTTGCTCGCCCACCTTCTGCATCTGTTTGACCACCATGGAGGTTTCTGCTGTCCAGTGCTGTGCAAAAAGCCCCACCTGGATGCCACTCACCCTCCTGATGATACTTGTATCTGCACAGGCTCAAACTATTGAATCATAAACATTGTTTCACCTGCCTCACAATAGGATGAGCTCTCCTCATATCCATGCAAATATATCTCAAAGAAACTCTAAGGCTGTTCCTGGTTTTCTGTCCCACTAAGCTCTCCCCATTTGCTTTAGTAAACTGCTCTCACCTGAGGAGCAGTAGCTCCGCCCCTTCCTCTGCATCTATCTCTAAACCCCGTGTCTCTGCTGCTTTCACCAGCTGGCTGCATGAGCAGACTGTGTTTGTCCTTACACAGTGTGGATGCGTGAGGTAAATTGACCATATTGAGTTAGGTATGTTGACACGAGTTAAATGTTTATAATGTTAGTTTGTTATATTCATTGAAATGGTTCGTTTTATTTAAGATTTGTGTTATAGATTTCTTTCTTGAGTTTGTATTTGATTGCTGATGATATGGCTTGGTTTATTTTCTGTATGGTAGTGAATTTAAACCAACCAGACTGTGTACATCCAGTCTGTGTGAATTACCTCATGTTTGTGTAAAACAGGACTGTGAACCATGTGCCTTGTTGACCAGATTCTTCAATAAAGAAAGAATAGATTCAAGTGTCCCCTGTCCTCTGTGTTTTAATCACTCCAGAGCCAATTCCAGATGTTCATAAATGAAACTCTCACTATTGCTCTCACTGGTTTTCACTGGAAACAGTAACTGATTTTCATAGGTGCATTTCTCATTGTTACTCTGATAGGCCACTAACAGTTGTCATTATTTATGATTGGTTAATCTAAATACTTCTGTCCAATGACAGGTTGGTTTCGTTTTCAGTTTCTGTATTCAATATTGTATATTAATTGTAAAAATCCTATTCTCTATTTATATTGCGCTTATTGTGTTATTGTTTTGTTATCCAGTGTTGACCAGATGAGGATGGGTTCCCCTTTTGAGTCATAGTTCTTCTCAATTTTTTTTTCCTCTTGCTCTTAGGGACATTTTCCTTGTCACTGTCATCCTTGGCTTGTTCTTTGTGGCTTGGACACAGATTTTCTATAAAGGTGCTTTGTTTCAATGGTTGTTGTAAAAAGTACTACAGATATAAACTTGACTTAGAAAAAAAATACAGTGCATCCAGCAATTAATCAAGGCTTATGCATCTTTTATATAGAAATTGAAACACACTACCACACAGAAAGCATCACTTCTACACATTCCTATGTTTCACCCTGGCCAGTGTGGATGTGCTCACACGTAAAACTGTGTGGTAATAGTGCTATGCCATGCAAAATGTAAATAAAACTTTAGCAGTTAGATTAGCCATGATGTGGAGATTGGCCAAGACCAATCTGTGTCTTTTAAATAGATTGGTTAATCAGCTGAGTGGGTGAACAAGCAGAAGTTGTTAATTACTTGGAAATGTTATCAAACATGTTTGGAAACATTGTAGAAAATATGATTAGTTTCTTACCAGGGAAAATTACCTCCAGAGTGGTTCAGGTATTCAGGTAGGAAAACACCATTTTGTGCTTGTGTTTGTGCTAAGAGTAGGTCTGAGGAGGTGGTAGTGCAATCGCAGTTTTAGACAAAAATGTGCTTTTTGACAAAAAATAGCAATATGCCAGCATTATTCCATTACACTTTGCTTGGATATGCATGACAATTCTGAAACTATTTACAAACTCGCTTAACTAAAAATTCCATTTTTGGTGCCCTGCAGGTTTGTGCACAAATTTTATCCATACAAGCCCAAATTAATGTTCTCCAAATGGTTGTGTATATTCTCACATATGTCATTTAATCACAGCATCAGCAGCTCATTAATGTCTTACACACAAAATGCTTATTTTTCATAATCTTTTGATAATTTTTTCAATAACAGAATAGGTAATCTTGGTCCATAATAACACACAAAACATTCAAAAGTTCACTGTAACATTAGCAAGCCACATTCATTAATGAACTCTAAACTTTACCTACTTAAAAAAAATCGTCTAGCAAAACAGAAAACAATGGTTTAATTATTTCATGCCTGCAATGTCAAAGACTAATCTCTTTCACCTTTTTATCAGTGGTAGAAGAAATAAACATTGATATTTCACCAGAGTAGACCAGCAATAATTGTGCTGAAGTCAGTCAGTCAGAGACTGATGTATTTTCAAGTAGTCAAGTAAGAAGGTAAACTCCTATAGCAGTACACATGCTGAACTTTACAAATATATAAAAGTATAGCATAACCTACACACTAGTTAAGGATGATCTGAAATTATGTTATCAGATCAAATTAGTGATCTTTGCTAATACTGCTAGATCCTTTACCTTCTTTTTGATATTTTCTACACAATAAACAGTTTAAGATCAGAATTCTAATGGCAGCTTCTTAAACCATAAAATTAGTGACAACACGAAAACAATAAAAAGATAAAAATGGCAAAATATAAACTTCTACTAAAACGTTTCCACTTTCAAAAGTGCCTCTGGCTCAAAATGTCCTCAGGCACTTAATTGAAAGACACTTTATTTAACAGAGGTAAACAATGTTGAGAGCTAATGTAATATGAAGTGAGCAGTAGACTTATAAGCACAACAGGCAAAGTATGAGTGGGAATGGACTTATCTACAGCTAAGCTAACCCTACACCATGGTGTTTTACAGCAAGGCAACATAGGATAGCCTCACAAGCCTATGCACATAGACTCCCATGCAGACCTGTTCTGCAAGCAAGCAGGGATGCAAGACCACACTGTAAAAAAAAACTGCTGTAAATTTACAGAAAAAATCCTGCAACAATCTCCTGTATCCTTAAATACAGCAGATTACGGTAAAATTCTTTTTGTGAGAATGCATTTATCTTATCAAAGGTAAAAACAGGCTGGAAACTCTGCTGCCTGTTGTTTACTGTAACATTTACAGGATTTTTTCCAGTGCATATTTTAAGGTTTGGAGGCAACAATAAAGAGTATTGTGTATTGTGTAACTGCTTAGTGTTAAAGTTGGGTCCGTTTCAAAATAGACCCTTGTTCTTTGTCCTTCACTACTGTCTCTGTTTCACTAGTTTAAATCTGACAGGGACTCAGAGAAGGAGTAATTAAGTTAGGGTCTGTTTGTTTCACGAATACTGTCAGACCTCCACTTATGCTAGTCTCTGGAACAGAACTTAAGCGACCAGCAGATGCAGAATGTTGGGTTTTTGACTCTGTAGAAAGAGCCCAATTGCCAGCTGTTTTGTGATTAAACTCTTTGACAGCACCTCCCTGCCTCACAAGCCCTGAGCTAACAGAAACAGACATACCCATGCCATTACTACTGGCAGCAGACACCGTGTTTGCAATCTCATCAGTGGGGGACCGACCAATGCTGCCATCCAACTGTGCTCGGATCTCTGGTGAGACAGAAAGCTGGTACTCAGGAACAGGTCCGCTGTCCCCACTCTTTGGGTACAGAAAAGTTTTCATTTGGCCTTTGCCCTTCACATTGACTGTGCCCCGATAGTCAAATTCGTAGTCCATTCCACTAAGAACACAGTAGCTCTCCTCACTAACCTGAACACAACACTCTACTCCAGTTGTGTCCATTCGGCTTGCGATATTCACCGTATCCCCCCAGATGTCATACAGTAGTTTTGTTGTGCCTATGACTCCTGCAGTGAGAGGCCCATGGTTAAATCCAATTCGCAGTTTGAACTTGAAGCCCAGCATATTTTTATTAAAATCATCCACCACACGCATCATCTCCAGGGCAAAGTCGAACAAAGCACGAAGGTGAGCGTGCGGATGTGCCTGGTCACTACAGTGTTGTGTGTTGAGACCTGATGCTGCCATGTATGTGGCACCAATGGTCTTGATCTTTTCAATAGTGGAGAAGTCAGGTTTACGCAGAAGCTCATCAAAGTCACCAATGAGCTCATTGAGCACACGATAGCACTCCTTGCCGCCCTCATAGCTCTCCTCATAGAACTCACTGAAGTTGACAATGCTGCCAAAAATGACACCCGCATTATCATGATTTTTTGAATAGCTCTGGGTCACCTTGAGCTGGTCTGCCACATGGATTGGGATGATATTACGCAGGAGCCAGTCCGCCTGGTCCTTCATGTTCTGGATCTTAATTCGGTGCTGGTCGGCTTCCATGTTGCCATGGTAGTGGAGTCTATAGCTTACTTCAAACTCACGGTTAAGGAACCAGACAAGAAGCAACAGCAGAAAGAAGGACAGCACAGCTTCACTCCCCAGCACATTCTGGAAATTGAGCCCAGGGTCCATGGAAGACTGAACTACACTGCTGTTGTTGTCATTGGAGCCAACGGATCTGGAGAAAAGACAGAAAAACAAAACAGAAGTCATCCACTTAACTTAGTAGGAGAACTAAAGGTATAAAATGTCAGAATCAAAAATTAGTAAACAGTAACCTTCATTTCTCACGTTAAATTTTAACACTCACCTGAGGAAGAACCTTTCCCATGCACTGAAATATGGGAACAACAGAGGAAACAGCAATAACCATTCTATTTCTTTAAAATAATTATACAAATCAGGATTAGGGAGTATAAAAGCAATGGAGAATGCACACTGATGTGCCAGAAGTCATTGGACAGGAACTAATATCATGTAGGACCCTCTCAAGCCTGGCTGTCTTGAAGGATGTTGAGCCATGGTGTCTGGATAGCCACCCACAGCTCCATGGTATTTGTAGGTGCCGGATCTCGGGTGTGAATGGACCTCTCCACCATATCCCACAAATGCTTGATTGGGCTCAATGCAGGTCACACCATTCGTTGGAACTCTTCAGAATACTTTATTCTGCTGGAATATCCCTTCACTGTGGTGGTCATCTGACATGGCTTGGCTGTCATCTGACATGGCTTGGCTGTCATCTGACATGGCTGATATAAAACATAACATAGCTGCAGAAGAAAGGCTTGAAAATTTCTACCCACTCCCACAGCTAGAACTAGAGAAGATTATCTCCTCTGCAAATTGTACAACCTGCACACTTGATGCAATCCCCTCAAAATTACTCAAAGAAGTACTACCAGTTATCATTAATCCTCTTTTAACTATAGTAAACTCGTCCCTTAGCCTGGGCCATGTACCCAGAGCTTTTAAACTAGCAGTTATTAAGCCTCTGATCAAGAAACCAAACCTTGATGCTAGCGTATTGTCTAATTACAGGCCTATATCTAACCTGCCATTTATATCTAAGATCTTAGAAAAAGCCGTAGCCCAACAACTTAGTTCATATCTACATAAGAACCACATATTTGAGAAATTCCAATCTGGATTCAGGCCACATCACAGCACTGAGACAGCTCTAGTTAAGATAACAAATGATCTTCTTCTTGCCTCTGATCAAGGCTACATATCCCTGTTGGTGCTACTTGACCTCAGTGCAGCTTTCGATACGATAGACCACAATATTCTCCTAGAAAGGTTAGAAAACATGGTTGGAATCACAGAGACAGCCCTATCGTGGTTCAAATGTTACTTAACGGAACGTTATCAGTTCGTACAGGTAAATGACTTATCTTCCAATTATTCACAAGTAAGATCTGGAATTCCGCAAGGCTCTATTTTAGGACCATTATTATTTACATTATACATGTTACCGTTAGGCACAGTTATAAGTAGCCATGGCATTAACTTTCATTGTTACGCAGACGATACGCAATTATACATATCAGCCAAGCCTGATGACAAATACAGGTTAAAGAAAATAGAGGACTGTGTAAAAGATGTGAAAGGTTGGATGTCACGTAACTTCCTCCTCCTAAACAGTAACAAAACAGAGGTTCTCCTTCTGGGTCCAAAAGTGGCAAGAAATAAATTATCAGGTTTAACTTTAAATCTCGCTGACTTTCCTGTTATACCAGGTTCAGCAGCAAAAAATCTTGGTGTAATACTCGATCCAGATTTATCATTCGATCAACACATAGACAGTATCACTAGGACAGCTTTTGTACATCTTCGCAATATCGCCAGAATAAGAAATGCCTTATCACTGCGTGATGCAGAAACATTAGTACATGCCTTTATTACCTCAAGGCTAGATTACTGTAACGCACTACTATCAGGATGCACCAGCAGGAATTTAAGTAAACTTCAACTAGTTCAAAATGCTGCAGCCAGGGTTCTCACTAAAACTAGAAAATTTGATCATATCAGTCCAGTTCTATCATCACTCCATTGGCTGCCTGTTAAATTCCGTATTGATTACAAAATTCTTTTATTGACGTATAAAGCCCTACATGGGCTCGCTCCTGAGTACCTGCAAGACCTTATTTCCCGTTACGAGCCACCACGATTACTCAGATCACAGAGTGCTGGCTTTTTAATAGTTCCCAGAATTCAGAAGGTTTCATCTGGGGGAAGAGCCTTTTCTTAGAAAGCCCCCAAACTCTGGAATGATCTTCCAGAAAATGTTCGGGACTCAGACTCAGTCGCAATATTCAAATCTAGGCTGAAAACTCACTTGTTTAGTTTAGCTTTTGGTAGCTAATGTTTCCCCTTGGATAAAGGCAGCAGAAGAAGGGGTCCATGGACGCAGGGAATTATAGTAAACTGAGACGCTGGTGCTGTCGTCTCGCCGCTCGCACGCGAACACTCAGGTTTGTGGAAGGTGGAGCGGAGGGATGCCAAATTGTTTCAGGGTGCTCCCGTGTCTGTGTGCCCTTTTGGTTCGCTCCTTTTAGTTAAGCTGTTATAGTCAGATCTGCCGGAGTCATTAGCCACACTCTGGAAATGTTTTACATACTACTATACATACACCCATACAGAACTAAACTAACTCCATTTCCCTACCTTTCTTCCGAGAAAACGACTGCCCACCTGTCCGGCCGGACACTGCTGGATGAGTTGTAGAGCTCTCCGGCTACCCGCTTCTGACCAGTTACCCACAACCCAGTCACCGCCACCTGCCTTGGACTGGCTGCCCACTCTACACTGAAGTCTCCTAACTATTACTACCTCCTAACTATTACTACCTCCTAACTATTACTACTACTACTACTACTACTATTAATATTAGTAGAATAATAATTTTGTACGTAGTTTGACCAGAGGAGGACGGGTCCCCCCATGTGAGCCTTGGTTCCTCCCAAGGTTTCTTCCTCAGCTCTGAGGGAGTTTTTCCTTGCCACTGTCGCCCCTGGCTTGCTCACCTGGAGGATTTACATTTCATGTTGAAACTTTGTTCTAAACGGATTTCTGTGAAGCTGCTTTGTGACAACATCAGTTGTAAAAAGCGCTATACAAATAAATTTGATTTGATTTGATTTGGTACATGAAGTCCATGAAGGACTGCAATGGTCAGTGAAACATAGTGGTCACCAGTCATGACATGTTTAGATGGACCAACGCACCCAATACATGCCATGAAAACACACCCCACACCAGTATGAAACCACCATCACCAGCCTGCACAGTGCCTTGTTGACAAATGGGGTCCATGGCTTCATTGGGTTTGCACCACACACGAACCCTATCAACAGCCCAAAAAAACTGGTACATTTGTTTTGGGATCATGCCACATTTGGCCAGTTCTCTAGGGTCCAGTTAGCAACCTCACAAGCCTAGCTGGTGTTAACAGAGGCACTCTGGTGGGTCTTCTGCTCCCGTACACCATGGAAGCTAAAGAACGCTACACTGACCTGCAAAATATGTGTGTGGGGTTTCCTGCATTGAATTTGGAAGTGATTTCTGCCAGAGTTGCTTGTCTGTTCACACAGACAATTCTAGCCAGACGCCACCGGTCAGGATCATAAAGCACCCATGGGTGGCCATTGCACTGTCCACTGTGTGTGGTATTGCCTTCTATGACGTATCCGCGGTACACAAATGACACTGTGGATCGAAGACAACTTCGGAAATGGAACGTCCGGTCTTTCGGTCACCCACTATCATACCTCGTTCGAACTCTGATAATTCATGTTGCCTTGCCATCAGCACGCTGGCCAGTGGTCACTCACAAGATAACACCTCACAACTTACACAGGTGTGGCTGTTCCCAAGCCGTCCCCTTCATAATCAATTTATGTATTGCTCCACAATGACTTTTGGCACATCAGTGTACTTTAATATGGTGTACTCTCTCAAACTACACTCAAACTGCAGAGGAAGAACACGGCAGTATAATATAGTGCAGTAGTGATATAACACTTATTAACATAAATTAAATGGGTTATTTTTAAATATGAATAAAAATCCAGGACATAAAAAAATTAAAAATACAATTCAGCTCAAAACACCAAAGTTGTGAAAAGAATGTTTGCAAATTCTTGAGTCTCCAACCTGCTAGGGTGACTCCAAAGTACCACAAGAAGCACAAGCCCCACCATGGTTGCCAAGGATGAGCGCATCCAAAAACTCAGTTGGCAGAAGTTACAGTACTGGATGATGGTTATAATGACCGTACAGCAGATGAATACAGTGAACTGGAGAACAGAAGTGAGAGTGTTTTTCAGACTTCTTTTAACAGCCTTTGTATCATATATTACCAACTAAATTCACCACATGATTGAAGTTTAAACAGACTGAAACTGTTGTCTTCATTGTGTGCCACTCTTAATTAGTCTGCTTATATTACACCCCGCTACACTGGTATTTTGGTTATTCAAAGATGAACATTTATTTATTTTTCAGTGGACCAATTATATATAGCAAATAAAAGTTAATTATCAATAAACCCAACAGTCAAAATCCAATATTTGTTGGTGAGCTGGAAAACCAATAAAGTTCTGATCTCACTCAACAGCAACACAGCTGTTTTCAATATTCAGTCGTGGACAATACAGTTACAAGTCTAAACCTGTGAATGAGTGTGGTGATGTAAAACAGATAAATACCACTGATGTACCTACAGACAGATGCATTGTGACATCTATGGTATTATTGTCAGAGTTCGCATACACTCTAGAAAAAGCCAGGTGGACTTGTGCTGAGTGAATTCACAGACCATTACTAACTAAACTAGGTCTTGGAGACAACTAAACAATGTCTTGGATCAACTTCAGCCTGAAATTAAAAACATGCAATTACTTGTTCAGGTATCTAAAAAATATCAACTTTAGAAAACCAACTTTTTGGGGAAAATGCATAACATTAGAGCCAACGTGTCTGAGTACTGAAGATGAACGGCCAGTATTTTGGGAAGTGAGTGACTGCAAAGTGACACGATACACCATTGGATTGTTAAATAAGTTTAGTTTGCTTTCCTTTCTTTCAATATATACATGCCTACATGTTTCCTTGGGCTGCTACTGACTCTCAGATTCCTTACAATATCTCTCTCATACATGCATCATACCTCACCTCATTCTTTAACAGATTGTTACTAATGACAATATGTTTGCTTATTTTCTCTGTTTCTCTTTACTAAGTCAACACATTCTACTAATTCACTACAAACTCAAAATCTGTACTCTAACCAGCATCACTGTGTGCACTAGAACTAAACAAGCACTGAAAAAACACTTGATCATTTGACATTTGTGCATTTGAAGGCCTGGGTTGTGAAATAGTGCTAATAGAAAAGAGAAATCTAGTCTAATACTTAGATAAAATAGAAAGCAGTGATTCGAATTTGTCAATTCACTTTGACCTTTATTTAAATGTAAACAGGACATATAAAAGATATTTTGATGTTTTACCTTCTGAACATCATTATTTTTTCTAAATAATAATGAAGAACCGTTAAACGTTCCCAGTTTTGTTCATGGTGCAGGGTTCTTCTGGCAAATGCTAGTTTCCCTATATTCCCTTACTTTATGTCACTTTTTTGGGGGACTGGGCTGCAGGGTGTGCCATGCTACACAAGGAAGAATCTCTCTCTCAACAAGAATCTCTCTTGTCTCACAACAGTGGATAGGTGATGGAAATGAAATGGATCTTCAGAAATGATGTAAAGAGTATCAGGATTTTGATTAGGCATAACACAAGAATTAGATTAGTTGCTGTTTAGATTTTGTCGTAAACACACAAGGGGGCTCTATGTGTGTGTGTGTGTGTATATATATATATATATATATATATATATATCAGCTCCACTTACTATATAGGTGCACTTTGTAGTTGTACAGTTACAGATTGTATCCATCTGTTTCTCTGCGTACTTTGTTATCCCCCTTTTACCCTGTTCTTCAGTGGTCAGGACCCCAATGGACCCTCACCGAGCAGGTACTATTTGGGTGGTGGATCATTCTCAGCACTGCAGTAATACTGTTGTGGTGGTGGTGTGTTAGTGTGTGTTGCGCTGGTAGCACCAACCAAAATAGAGATGTCGGCAGGACTGACCAGGTGCTCAGGGGATGTGCTGACCAGCTTGTGGATGGCCTAACAGACATCTTCAGTATTTTCCTGAAATTGTCTATGTTCTGTCACAATGACTAATGGTTTGTAGTGTGCTCACTCTGATCATCATGAAGTGCTTTAAGCAGTTGGTGATAAAACACATAAAGAGTAGTGTTCCACTCTGGATCTATTTCAGTTTGTGTATCGCCCCAACTGGTCTACAGAGGATTTCATATTCTCTGCTATTCACCTCTCCCTGACCCACTTAAGCATAAAGGACGATTATGTGAAAATGCTATGCATAGACTTTGAGTCAGCGTTCAGCCCACTATTCCATAGCAACTCATTGGAAATAAGCTTGCTGGGCCTGAACACCTCCCTCTGCAAGGGAGACCTCAGTCTGTCAGGATTGGCAACACCATCTCCAGCACAACATACTGAACATTGGTACTCCCCAGGGCTGTGTGCTCAGTCCCCTGCTATTCACACTGCTGACTCACGACTGTGGAGCAAAGCATAATTCAAATCACATAAGGTTTGCTGATGATACTACAAGCGTGGGCATCATTACCAACAGTGATGAGTCAGCATACAGGCAGGAAGTGAAAGGCTTGCAGAGTGGTGCAGGGACAATAATCTTTCTCTTAATCTTGATAAATGAGAGACATGAATCCTGACGGTGTTTAACTTTGATTTGACTTTGATTGTTTTGATTGTGGGCCTGTGGTGACCACTCTCTGCTGCACATCAATGTTTTAACTGTGGAGAGAGTCAAAAGTTCCTCTGTGTGCAAAACGCTGACACCCTCACCTAGACACTCAACAATACCTGCATGGCCAAGAAAGTCACTTCCTATGATGGATGAAGAGAGCAAACCTCCTCCATTCCATCCTCAGTACTTTCTACAATGGGACTTTCTTGCAGCTGTCTCACTGTCTGGTAAGGATTAGTCGACATGGCCAACATAACACAGACTGCTAATATAGTTGAGGCACTAATTTTAAAGAGAGAACACATATTGTAAAAATTGTTAAATGGACAAAATTCATGTTTAAATAGGACTTTGGTGAGTATCTCCAAAAGGATATTAATACTGTATCCTGTAAGATTTTCACATTACTAGTCTGGTAAATATATTACTGCTATATATTTTAATTATTCTTGTTGTTACCATGGGCAACAATGCATCAAGGCAGCTCTGTTTCAAACAGAGTACGTCCAGAAGTGCAGAATACTGATCAAAGAATTTTTCAGTGGTGATTTACTTTTAATATGCTTTTTTACAAACCCATTTCCAAAAAAGTTGGGACGCTGTGCAAAATGTAAATAAAAATATATGATAATAATATGCAAATCATGTAAACCATATTTTTAAAGACAAATACTACAAAGACAACATCAAATGTTGAAACTGAGAAATATATGAAAAGAAAAGAAAAATATATGCCCATTTTGATATTGATGCCAACAACATGTTCCAAAAAAGTTGGGACAGGGGTATGTTTAACACTGTGTTTCATCACCTCTTTAACAACACTGTGTAAGCATTTGGGAACTGAGGAGACCAATTGATGTAGTTTTGAAAGTGAAATATTTTCTCATTCTTTTTTTGATATAGGATCGTATTTTTCATTTCATAATGCACCAAATGTTTCAGTGGGTGACAGGGCTGGACTGCAGGCAGGCCAGTTTATCACCCAGCCTCTTTTAATACAGAGCAATGCTGTTGTAATACATGCAGAATGTGGTTTACATTGTCTTGCTGAAAGAAGCAAGGCCTTCCCTGAAAACGACAATATATACATGTTATATTGCCAAAACACATATATATTGTACATATATTTTGCACAGCATCCCATCTTTTTTGGAAATGGGGTTGTACCCATATCTTTATACTGCATTTATACTGCCCCTGTGGTCTAGGCACATGCCCACCTGAATGGAGGGGTGCATATTGTATGTAATGTGGGAAAAGACCGTCACAGCAGGTAATGAAACAAGTACTGCTCCAATCAGATGGCGGGGGACCCAGCCAGAGGTAAACCACAGCAGGGTTCTGGTGCAATTCAACACCTTGTCCAGAAAAAAGGCTCTCCTAAAAAGTAAAAACAGAGTGATAGTGTAAAACCCCATTTATGACTAACATTAAGAAAAGTTCTAAAGGAAGAACACATTCCATCATTAATACATCTCATAACCATTTTACCCAGTTTTCTTACTTACTGAATAGCCAGTACAAGTGCCAGACATTCTATCATGACAGTCACTGCAGTCACAATGAGCGCATCAACTGGCAAGGACTGGTGGGTAACCAGAGGCTGGAGGAAACAGGACAATGAGAGAACTAGAAGGACAAAGCAGCACAAAAGCATGTCCAGGAAAGAGCTGAATGTCGGACTAGCAAAGGTCTGGACAGGGGACTGTGTCTTCACCTGCAAAGGAGACAGAGAGGAAGGGAGGGAGGGATGGAGAAAGGAGGGGAAGGAGAGAGAGAGGATGGAAGAAAGGGATGAAGGAAGGAAAGAAGAAAGGAAGAAAGGAAGGAAAGGAGAGAGAAGTAGATGTGAACAATCAGCTAAGCCTTTTTGAAAGCATTTAAAGTCAAGCCTTCTTCTAAATCTGCTCCAGCAGAGGGCAGCACAGACTGAAAATTTGGAAATGGGCTTTTTATAGGCTCCAGTAGCCCTGCAGTGATTTTTCTCCTAACACTGTCCCTGAATAACCAGTGTTTGGCACTTGTGTTTTGTGAGAGCTCCAAATCTATGTTGGTCCAACAAACATGAGTATAGTTTAGCTATTGTCAGAGGTGCATAAAAAGAGACTGAAAGCAATGAGACATTAAGTAAAAGACAGGCAGACAGGAAACTAGACAGGTATTCACCTCCTCCTGGTAGCTGGTCCTGTAAGATGTTTCCAAGGATTTATCTAAAAAGTTGTGGCTCAGCTTGGTGATGGGGGGCTTAGAGAAGTAATCCTTCATCAGACTGGAAAATTTAGAAAAAAAACCAATGTACTGAAACACAAAATAGTGATGAGCAGGTTTTCAAATGATTGAATGAAATAAAGCTTTAATCAGGTAAGTTGGTGCAGGTTATCAAAAGACACATTTCTCTACAAACACATAGATGACTAGCGGTTTAAAGCCACTGAGGGGAGCATAAAGTAAAATGCTATTTTCATTTGCATTAAAATGCAATCTGCTGCAATTCTGATTTCTACTATTAACCGGAGCCATTCTTGAAAAAAAAAGTGGACAAAAAATGTGTTTTACAGATTATTATACATTTAATTTTACCAAATTAAGCAATAGCTTGTAGTCCCATACAGAATCAAGTTATTCTATAAACATTCCTCTATACATTTTAGCAGATTAAACTACAGTTGTAGAAATACATTGCAGATTTTCAATGAACCTTCCAATGTCATTTGTAGATAATACAATGCAAGCAATGCTATCATAAGTATACCTTTGCAGAACCCACTTTATAATGTCATATTTTTCAGCATAGATAAACTCATGTGATTGCAATGTTCTTTTCTTTTCTGTTTTAGTAATTCCCTGATTTTTATCACAACAGTATAGCCAATTCCCACCAGCTGTAGACACACAGCAGCTACTAACTTGATCGAGTTAAAGCCAATTACTTCATCACCTCGAGCTGCTGTTTCCACAACACTTGAGATAGCTTCACAATGCTTGAAACTGAACACGGCACATTATTTATTCTCATTTCTTTGGCAAGCATCATTATACATCAATAGGGAGAGAGAACATTAAGTGAAAACTTAGCCAGTTGTGCTCTTGTGGTCTCCAGGCCAGAGAACTCTTTATATACCCAGTAAAAAAAAAATCCGATCCTACCTGTCCTCCTTTATAACATCCACAAAATGTGCATCACTCCTCTCTCTGAAGTTCTTGGAGCGCAGTGGAATGAGGGCAGAGTGGTTCATTGTGGTGACCACGCCTCCTCCTCGCTTTTTCTCCTTCTCATGTAGAATATTACACAGCAAAGCATGGCTGTTGGCCAGAGCCTCCTCTCGGTGGGGGCTAAGGAGGCCATTCATGGTCAGTGAGTTCCTGTTTAAAGTCATCTGAGGGAGATCCAGGTTTTAAAAATGAAAAATATACAGCTGTTGCAAATTAATTCATCTGTGGTAATTTGGGCCAAATAATACATCATCTTTTGGTACTAAAGCAAGAACTTTAAATTCATGAGAGGAATTGGAGCTTTACCTTTGTGTCTTTGGTCTTTTCATCACTACTAGCATTATGAACAGCTCCTTTCTCAAAGTTCAGATCCTCTGCAGAAATCAGGACCACATTGCATGAGGGACAAGGAGACTGGAGGGATTGAGACAAATCAGAAGATGAAATGAAATTACATATGGAAGCTAAAAAAGAGAATCTGGAAACGTTAAGTTTTCTGGTATAAAAAGGGAACAAAAAAAAGTCATGGCAAATGACACATATTTGACAATATAGTGTATATAGTGTATAGACAATATAGTGTATATAGTGTATAGATTTAAATGTTGTGTTTCATCACACAGCATGTCATGGCTAAAAGTATGTGAACACACATTCATTTGTGTTTACTGAACATCTCTTTCTAAAACTATGGTCATTAGTATTGAGTTGATCCAACCTTCAGATCAAAGCTTTAATAGCCTCCAATCTTTGGGGAAGGCTTTCCATATTTTGTAACATGGCTTGCATTTGGGTATCCACCACACCAAGATTTGCACATCAGACTGTTAGATGATGAAGCCTGATTCTTCACTACGGAGAACACATTTCCATGATGTCCAATGATGGTGTGCCTTACAACACTCCAGTCAGTGCCTGGCACTGTGCATGCTATACCTATGAAGATTGCAGGGATATATGCTTGATTTTATGCATCTGTTAACAATAGGTGTGGCTGTAACAGCCATCTCACTAACTAGAAGAAGTGTCCACACACTTTTAGACAAGTAATGTAGATTAGGTGTGTATAATGGCAATAAAATCTGTAGTTACAAACTTGGAAATAGTAAGAATTGCTGCTCGCTGACTGTGGCATGGGCTGAACAAATAAAAAAAAATAGTCATGGGGATATTTAGTCATGCCAGTGCATCATTAAGTCAGCATATGATGGAATAATTTAAATAATAAACATTGATGGATATTTTAAGGAAAATCAGAAAATCAGAATGGACTACAAACATTAAAATTCACAAATATCCAACCAGAAGACATGCAAAACTCTGAAAGATTTCTGAAAAATAAGTAATGCTGATTTAGATGCAAACCCCAATATTTGTGTTATAATTTCAAAATGTGCAACAGATCTAACAGTTAATGGAACAAAAATAGAATGTGAAAGTATTATGATGTGACAGACCCTCAACCGAACCTGATTTGCTTAGCACATTCAGTTACTGATGTGTTTTTAGTTGTCTTTAATCAACTCACTTACTGTACATTATAGCAATGGCATAACAGCTTCACTGAACAAAGCTTCCCATAAAATAACACCAATTGTTTAGAGAACAGCTTGTAAACCCTCTTTAGTATAACAAACTTAGTAAATGCAAAAAATGAAATTAAACACAACAAAGTAATGTCATAGACTGCAGAACATTCAGATATATTCTACTCATAATAAGTTAAACAAACCCACAAAATGGAAGAGATATGTTTTCTCCATGGTCCCAAGACCAAAGACTGACCTTAGCTCTGTCTGCACTGGGTAGCAGTGCCGAGGCTGAACCTGGGAGGTCAGGACTTTGGGTGTGTAGATTGCTGCTCAGAGACTCCTCTTGCGCAGCTTCAGTGAAGCCTAGATGTGAGCAGCTGCACTGAGAGCGTTCCATCTTTCTCCCAGAGATCAGGTAGGTCTTCAGGCCTGTAGGCAAAACACATGCTCACCATCATCCAGAAAGTCCCAGCAGTTTATATTAAAATGCTTGTCACACTAACAGTTTGATGAAAATGAAGAAATAATGGCAGTGGCAAAAGGGGAGGATCCAAAGAAAACAATATGGTCAGTTGATAAATGGAATAATAATCAATAAGCTAATAAATTATAGAAATATTAGATGGCTACAGGCTCTATTTTTTCCAGACCAAACTGGCCTTCAACAAAGCACCAAAGTATAAATTTACAAACCATTTGAATGATAATGAGAATCACAAATATTTAATTCCTTTGCTCCTCTGCGCTGGCCTTTACTATTACATTCAAATGGTATAACTAATTTGTGTTCAATTTTATATTTTTTAGCACATAAATATAATAAGGCTACCATTTAAAAAAATCATGTCTGCTTTATGCAAAATTTGTGTGTACGCAAGTACTTTTGTGTACCTAAGTAGACTCACGTATTTACTGAATAGATCGAAATCGAGTCTTAGTTTTGTATTATTATTAGCCACAGGCATTGTATTGACCAAAAGTAAACCCCTACTAAAATCTGTCAAGTTCCACACAGCTTCAGGCAGTTCTAATTTGATCAGTTTTATTTATGATTTTTTTCTCAAGCTGAAATTTCATGAGCCAAGTCAAGATGCCAACATGCGACTCAAGTCTGTGTTGCTGACTCTCTAGCTGACACCCTAAACAATGATCTTCAATCTGTCACTAAAAATATATCAGTCAATCAATCAACCTTTATATTCACCCTGATCAGTTTAATTTAATTTAATCAGTTCAGGGTGAACATAAAGGTTGATTGATTGACCCACACCTCCTAAAGTGGTGGGGCAAAACATGTTTAAAAAAAAAAGCAGCTGGCTGAGTGACACAATGCAACTAGGCCACTGACTAAAATTGCCATTGTCTCTATGAACCTATTCAGATGTGGGTAGTAACTAGTTGCATTTACTCAAGTACATGTACTTAAGTAAACTATTGATGGATTTTTACTCCCCAGAGTATTTTCAAATCATATTACTTTTACTTGTACTGAAGAGAATAAAGGAATCTTTTTACTCTGTTACATTTTAGCCGTTCGTATTTAGTTACTAATTCCATTATTTGTGTTTAATTTCAATATGTTTTGATGGTGGCAATACTTGTACTGCTTTGTGATCAGTTACATCTCTGACTTTGGAGCTTTGTATTTTAGACCAAAAAAATATAGAGCTGCTGATAAATGCTGGATGTAGCAAGAAGATCCACTGCAGTACTTAGTAGATTTTTGACCTGCTTCTTTTGTATTTCTACTCAAGTTGTTTTGGGGAAGGTAGTTTAACTTTAACTTTATGCAAGTATCAATTCATTTGCTTGAGTACTGATTTAAGCTCCTCTACCCACCTCTGAACCTGATCATGAACAGTGCCAGTAGTTGTTTTGATGCTGCTTTAGTAACTGCAGGCTTAGACAGCAATATTTGTTAGCTAACATTTTTGAAGAACATCAGGCTGTTATCATACCCAGTTCATTTTCCAACGACAGCAGCACAGGTTTTTTTTTTTTTCATCTTTTTCCTTTGGTTTGGATGGTGGACTGCAGGGACTAAAGTGAACTAAATTTCACATGTGTGTGTTTGTTTATTGATCAAAAGTTTTGGAGGGATGCAAGTGCTCTGTTACTCTCACATTCATCACCATGAACACAGAAAAACAGAAAGAGAAGCTTATCATCTATGTGTATACCAAGTTTAACCGATCACGTTAAACAATTTCCAAACAATTTCCATTAGGTAGAACCAAGTGGCCATGAAATAACCTTTTGTGAACAAGTAAAGTTTTAGTTTAACATTTATTTGCAACTTAGTTTAAATAAAAATTAGTTTAAATTTAAACAAGTTTAATAAAAACTTGCTTTAAACACAGGTTCACAAATGAGTTTTCCTTTACTATATTGCATCTGTAGGTCTCTGTTAATAAACGTAAACTAGCCAAAACAAATTTACTATAAAATGAAATAGTGTTTGTATAAATTCAGAAAAAAAGAAATATGCCAGTCACAACTGCATATGTGTACATATTTCTATATTGTGGTCTATTTACACAAAGTTAGGATAGAGTCAGGAGTTTCTTCTATCATTTATGTAGGAATAGGCACTCCCAAAGTTTTACGCTGTTGCACTGACGTTGAACCGTATGCTTGCACTGGGTAGGTATGTCCAACCGGTCAAAACAAGTTCAAAACAAAGTGTGTGCTGTACCCTGATTGGTGTGCTTGCTTCGCGCTTCTTTAGTTTTTATGCACACATAAGCCAAAAGGAACAACAGATTTCGCATAATGTAGTGGAGTAAAAAGTAAGATATTTGACTTTGAAATGTAGTGGAGTGAAAGTAAAACGTCACCAAAATTGGAAATACTTCAGTAAAGTACAGATACACGAAAAAACTACTGAAGTACAGTAACAAATTATATTTACTTCATTACTGTCCACCACTGGTTATTGCAGTGTCAAGATGACAAAAAGACTGACTTAAAACAGTAATCCTGACCGCCTAACACTAAACGATCGAGATGACGCGAGCGTGACGCAACTCTAGCAAGACACTTATGATTTTGTTAGACCAAGATGGTGCTGTGTTAACATGTCGTTTAAGCTGTCTCTCAAGCTTTTTCGGGGTTGCGGTTACCATTCAGCTGTGTGACCAATTTTCATGAAAAAAAAAAATATATATATATATATAGAAACTTGAGTGACATCCCATTCTTAATCCATAGGGTTTAATATGATGTTGGCCCACCCTTTGCAGCTATAACAGCTTCAACTCTTCTAGGAAGGCTTTCCACAAGGTTTAGCAGTGTGTTTATGGGAATATTTTACCATTCTTCCAGAAGTGTGAGGTCAGACACTGATGTTGAATGAGAAGGCCTGGCTCGCAGTCTCTGCTCTTATTCATCCCAAAGGCATTCTATCAGTTTGAGGTCAGGACTTTGTGCAGGCCAGTCAAGTTCTTCCACACCAAACTCGCTCATTCATGTCTTTATGGACCTTGCTTTGTGCACTGGTGCGCAGTCATGTTGGAACAGGAAGGGGCCATCCCCGAACTGTTCCCACAAAGTTGAGAGCATGATATTGTCCAAAATCTCTTGGTCTGCTGAAGCATTAAGAGTTCTTTTCACTGGAACTAAGGGGCCAAGCCCAACTCCTGAAAAACAACCCCACATCATAATCCCCCCTCTACCAAACTTTACACTTGGCACAATGCACTCAGACAAGTACCGTTCTCCTGGCAACCGCCAAACCCAGACTCATCCATCGGATTGCCAGACAGAGAAGCATGATTTGTCACTCCAGAGAACACGTCTCCACTGCTCTGGAGTACAGTGGCAGCATGCTTTACACCACTGCATCCGAAGCTTTGCATTGTGCTTGGTGATGTAAGGCTTGGATGCAGCTGCTCGGCCATGGAAACACATTCCATGAAGCTCTCTATGCACTGTTCTTGAGCTAATCTGAAGGCCACATGTAGTTTGGAGGTCTGTAGCGATTGACTCTGCAGAAAGTTGGCGACCTCTGCGCACTATGCGCCTCAGCATCCGATGACCACGCTCTGTCATTTTACGTGGGCTGCCACTTTGTGGCTGAGTTGCTGTTGTTACCAGTCGCTTCCACTTTGTTATAATACCACTGACAGTTGACTGTGGAATATTTAGTACCATGCTGGAATTCACTGAGCTCGTGCGAGCAACCCATTCTTTCACAAATCTTTGTAGAAGCAGTCTGCATGCCTAGGTGCTTGGTTTTATACACCTGTGGCCATGGAAGTGATTGGAACACCTGAATTCAATGATTTGGATGGGTGAGTGAATACTTTTGGCAATATAGTGTAAGAGCTGTTCAGAGAAGTGTTGACATGGACGACCTCATGTTCGAGATTGAGCGCCTCATGAAAAAACAAGAAGCTTCTCTTCAGAAACTGTCCTCCATCGAAAAGAAAGCCAATGCTACTACAGCAGCGGTGCAGTCTCTTACTGACTGTACAAAAGCTGTTAACAGAAGTGAGTGCACATTCCAAGAAGCTTGCGAATCTTGAAGTAGAGTTTTGCACCCTTAAGCTGCAGAACACCAAGCTTTACGAATTGCAACGTTACAGTCATCAGAGGTGCATGAAAATCTATGGTGCGAAAGAGAATGAAAATGAAGATATCAAGAAAGTTGTAATTGATATCTTTGGCATGATCTCCCCTTGAATCAAGAGCAAGCTTGAGAATGCAGTCGATATGGTGCATATACTGTGGTGCATACTAGTTAGTTTTTTGCTTTGGAAAAAAGACATTTTAGAAGTAAGTCATTGTCCAGTTCGAAAATCAACGACAAACTATGTCAAAATACTAAACAGATATCCAGATATGAGCATTCTATGAATCATTATATAAGACTAATTTTAGCCTTTCCTATTGTGACAGTTTTTTGCAGCAGGTCAGTGGAGGGGTAGGCATAATTTCTGAAGAGTTTAAGGAGATTTGTTAGTCAGATTTTTTCATACGGGAGCTAAAAGAGTCCATGAAATTGATGAAAAAAGGAAAGTCCCCTGTTCCAGACGGTCTTATGGTAGATATCTTAATTTTGGGGATTTGTTAGAGAAGCCTCTTTTTGCTCTTCTTAAACACTACATAACAAATTTCAATATGACAACCACTATGAAGCAAGACATCATCTCCTTGATTCTAAAAGATTTATTTTCCATAGAAAATTGGAGACCAACCATATTATTAAATATTGATTAAGCTACTGGTATTAACGTATGCTAACAGACTTAAAACAGCCTACACAATATTGTTCATGAATATCAAACTGGCTTAATGAATGGGCGCCATATAAGCAATAATATACGCTTAGTTCTAGATATAATTTACTATTCACATCTTATTGATTCAGACTGTCTCATTGTTTTTCTAGACTTTGACACAACTGAACATGAATTCTTATTCAAATC